GCGGTACCGGCTGTGGGGGGGGTACGGCCGGGCGCGGGGCCGTGCGGGTGTCGTCGGGCGCGGAACCACAGCGGTTCCCTCGGACCCGCCTGTCCTCCGCCCCGGGATCCCCGAGCTGGAGCTGCTGGGGACGGTCCGGTGGAGTGCCACGGCAGGGTAGGATGAAAAATAATAAAGGAAGGAGCGTGTGGGTTGGCATCCACCGCCGTGATGCCCTGGGATACAGGGGAAGCGTGGGGTTTGGGGAGAAATTGGCGGCTTTGGGTTACAAGGGTGGGAAAAGTAGGAGTAGGACTCAGTTTGCTTTTTCCATGCTTGTATTTCTTTTCTTCCCTCACTGCGCTTAAGAGATGCTACCGGTGACTTTTTTGAGATATTAGAAGAAGCCATAGATACGATTATGGGATTGCCTCCCCCCCTGACCCCCAGTGTCTTTTTAAATCAAGGGTATCTCACTCCTGAAAAATCAGGCCCTGTATCGCTGTGTTTTTATTGCTGCTAAGGAGCTGGAACAGTCAGTGTCAATGGGACAGGCTGGTGGAAGGAGATACAAGCTGTTTGAATTTCCACTGTATTCTTGGAAATATTGTAATTTCTGCCCTGGAACATATTATTCCCTGTTCTACAACAAGCCTGAGTGGTGATTTATAAATAGATCCGTTTGTTTATGTCGTTCCCGTGTAGCCAAACAACTGTTTACATTGTGAAATGGATTGCTTCATTTCACATCAGCTTTATCAGCGCTGACCCCGGGGTGGCCACAGCTGAAGTTACAATGTTCTTGGGCAGAGTGCTACCGGAGAGATGACATCAGGAGCTCAGAGTTACACTGCTGGTTGCTGGCCCTTCTGTTTGCGTTTGTGTGCCTCTGGAGGGGAGATGCAGTAAAGGGGTTAGGGGAGTGGGGAGAAGGGTGTGTGGGGCTGTGGCGTGCTGAGGGGCAGATCTGTGCCTCTTAAAGAAACTGCTCTGTTTGTACTTAAGATGGGACTTTATAGCGTGGGAGAATCCGAGTGACTGTCCCCTGGTAATGTTAGGACATCAGTCAAGGTAACCTGACTTGAAGTTTGTTAAATACCCGACAGAAGCAACATCCAGTGAGGAAAAAATCAGGGGCAGGAGAGAGAGGGGAAAGCATTGCTTTTGCTCAGGTACTACTTGAAAAATACAGGGCTTTTTTTCATGATGAAGTTTTATTCCTTTACCCCTCCTTTCCCTGGCCAGCATGTTTCATTATCCTCTTGTGCAATCTGTATATTGTTCATGAGGGGGAGAAGCCATCTGTGATTGAAATAGGAGTACAGTGACGGATGTTTCGATCTGATATAGCTGCGTTGAATGAGACATCCTTTAGGTAAAACAAAGGGTTGATTTCCCCCTCACCCTCTCCCCGCCCCTGCTGGCTTTCTAAATTGCCCTGATTCCTATTCTGGGAGCTGCTAGATCAAATCATGTGTTTATCATCTACAAACAGTTATTGTAGATTTTTGCCCTTGAAACACAGTGTAGCATTTTGAGTTATCTTCAGTTGCACTCTGGGCTTTTTTTCATATTTCACTATTTTAAGGTACTAATTTTTTTTTTTTGGGAAAAAAGTATTTAACTGCTTTTGTTTCTAACATTTCTTCTAGTACTACATTCGAAGTCTGTCATATTTTCTGTAATGTTTTTTTTTTTCTATAACTTCTGACAACTTTCCTTTCAGTTAAGCCAAAGGACAAGGCTGCTGTCTTAACCGTGAGTTTTGGCTGCAGTGCCATACTGGGGGTATGAATGGCTTCAGTGTATCTGCTGTATTTACAAGAATGCTCTCATAGGCTGGCAGAAAACTGTTGTTTGCCCTCCCAGTGCTGATTCAGGGAAAAAGAACAACTCTGATGATCCTGCAGCTTGATCTGCGCACGTAGACCCTTTCTCTGAGAGACCTGAATGTAGCAGGGGAATTGGTGCCTGTTCTATTTCTTACAGTGTTTCCTGTGGATTGCGTTAATAGTTAGGCAGTTGAGGTAATAGTTTATGGTTTGATTAGGAGATTTATTTTTTTAACTGTATTCCTTTTTGTGTCTTGAGTTACAAAAAGGAAATGGAAAACCAACCCACCACTCGGTTTGAATGGTTTAGCAATTCTGTTGTGTCTAACTTAGGCTGTGGTCAGCCGTTCTTTTTATAAGCCAGGACCCTTTTCTATTCTGCTTTGCAGAAAGCAGCTCATAATGTTCATCCTTCTCTGACCTTTTGAAGGAGATCAGACAAAAAGATCATGATGGTAACTTCTATTTTTCACTTCTGATGGCTGGGAGGAGCTGTCGAAAATGCACTTGCTCCTCTGGCTGCATGCTGCAAAGTAATGGGGATGATTTTTCTATTTCATAATCAGATCAGAAATGCTTACAGCTTTTCTGCATATGCTGTCAGTGAATACTGGAGCTGGCAGTGCTAGTACAAAACGGATTTTCAAATAGCTTGATTGTTTGCTGATGGTGCCATTTGTGGTGGTGACACCATGAGTGTCTTTCCTCAAAAAGGCTGAGGAAAATGAGGAACAGAGAAAGTGAACCAATGTGTCTGGTAGATTTAATTACTGTGAGGAAAAAAATTCTCATCAGATGGTTCTGGTCTTGGCAAGACAGTATTATTTCCTTTTCATAGCATCATTTCCATCTTTTCATTCGAAGACTAGCAAGTGAGTGGTAGCTTGTTGCATTGAAATTCTTTGCTGTGATTCCCCCAGGTACCACTATGATAGATTAATGCAACTGCATCCTCTTTGTGTTGAATGGAAAGGACTTATGGTTGAAGAAATGGACTAAACCTTACTTAATGTAACCTTTTTCTGACATACCCATCTTCATTTCAGATGATCCTTTGGATATTGTCTTTCAGTTTGTCTGGAAACTAATAGATTCTGATTTAGCAGGCTCAGGCATAATTTTTTTCACTGTGTACAAGTGCTCAACTATGTCTTGATCACACCTTTGCTTGTGAGTAGTGATGTTCTAGACTTTTGAAGTCTTTAGGTTTATTCTTGCTTTCACTTGGAAATTTTACTGACTGTTCTGTTTCTGGAGTATTTGGGTTATTTCCTGTTATCATAAAACTCCACTACAAACTTGAGCAATCTGTGAAAGCTATTACTATATTTCTTGGAGAGGTGATTTCAGCTGACCTGCCTTCATCCCAGCTCCGGCCTCTAGTAAATAGGTCATCCACAGCACAAGAATTGGATAATACTTGACAACTGTTGTACACATCCAGCCCTTGTAGAGGAGACTTATATTTAGCTTGTGAGGAGTATGAAGATGAATTTAGGAAAATATATTAACTCAACAACCCATTATTGGTGCACCATAATCCGTTATGTGATCATCTTCCTATGCTAATTTTCTGCTGTTGCTGTTTACCAGATGGTCTGCTTCATGTTTTAATGCTGATGAAGATCCATAGTGGGAACCATGTGTGGATTTCTTCATCTCACAGACATTAATCTCCTCTTACATGTAGTTAAGTTTGTCTATATGTATATATATAATATGTTACATTTTATATATATAATGTTGTATCTATATATCTAGAATCTAGTCTTGAATTTCTTTAAACAATATCTGTTAAGGGCCAGACCTGGCAGAATTGTCCAAAGCAATTACGTACTGTCCCACCACCACTGGCTTTCCTGAGGTTAATATGACTTCTGGTGTTTTTCTCACCACATTGCCCTTGAGGTACATCCTGTCTAGATTTGGGCATGCTGATAATGAAGCTTTTATTTTGTTGAGCAATGCAGACCCAGAGTAGCTGCCTCCTGTTGCAGGTAGCTGGTATTCACAGACTGTGTCAGACCTATACAGCCTGTTCATGGTGGGGCAGTGGAAGTGGCAAAGAAGCCAGGTTATCACTGATCATAGAATCACAGAATGGTTTGGGTTGGAAGGGACCTTCAAAGATCATCTAGTCTAACCCCCCCCGCCCATGGGTAAGGACATCTTTCACTAGATCAGGTTGCTCAAAGCCCCATCCAACCTGGCCTTGGAAACACCTCCAGGGATGGGGCATCTACAGCTTCTCTGGGTAACCTCTTGCAGTGCCTAACCACTGTCACAGTAAAGAATTTCTTCCTAAGATGTAATCTAAATTTCTCCTCTTACACTTTAAAACCATTACCCTTTGTCCTGTTGCTACGTGCCCTTGCAAAAAGACCCTCCCCAGCTTTCTTGTAGGCCCCCTTTAGGTACTGGAAGTCCTTTGTAAGGTCTCCCCAGAGCCTTTCCTTCTCCAGGCTGCTCAACCCCAACACTCTCAGCTTGCCTTCACAGGAGAGATGCTCCAGCCTTCTGATCATCTTCGGGGCCTCCAACAGATCCATGTCCTTCTTATGTTGCAGGGCCCAGAGCTGGATGCAGTACTCCAGATGGGGTCTCACCAGAACAGAGGGGCAGCATCACCTCCCTTAACCTGCTGGCCATGCTGCTTTTGATGCAGCCCAGGATGGGGTTGGCATTCTGGCCTGCCAGCACACATTGCCAGCTCATGTTGAGCTTCTCCTCAACTAATACCCCTAAGTCTTTCTTTTCAGGGCTGCTCTCAATCCATTCTCCACCCAACCTGTGTTTGCGGGTGTTTCATTGAACACTTCCAATGATGAGGAACCTATAGTTATTTGTTTTTTTCTGGTATTTATAAGGATCTTTCTGGCAGATGATTGCCATAGATGAGTGTGCTAGATGACTGCTGAAGCTATACATGCAGCATGATCTGCAGGGTAGGTCAGGATGGTGGATCTGCTGTGGCCCTGAGCGTGCAGTCCAGCCAGATGCTCTTGCTTGAAGGACTTTTGGGAAATGGCCAGTTGCTGCCAGGTACTCTGGGATGTTACATGGCATCAGGACCCCCCCAGAGGAACTCACACTCCATTTTCAGGGTGGGCTGCCTGCCTAC